CTTCAAAACCCTCAAAGGTCTCATGTGCCCATAGGTCGCTGTGTGGAGGTGACTGGACTGTGGGGCTTACAGCTAGCTTGCTGTTAGGAGGCGGGCTCTGGTTGGAACAGGTGAGTCATGGTACATATCCCTGGGGGGTGCTGGGGCAAGTCTGAGTTGCGAGGTGGAAGAAACTGGAGACCCATGCCCAGGGCGAGGGCAGCTGAGACGCATACGCTCAAGCGGATGGGAGCTCTTCAAAACCCGACACGCTTCCTTCTCCTGTCTGCTTCTTATTCCATCCAAGCCTATTGATGGGTGCCGCCCACCACCCGCCTGGGTCTTCCCACCTCAATCTGCTGGCCTACACCCCGACCTTCTCTGGAAACACCCCAGACACACCCAGAACTGTGCTTTACTCATCCGCTAGGCATTTCTCACACATCACAATGAACTGTTACCACATCATACTTACTGCTAGAAGAGGGAAGCCTTGCCCCATAAAAGCACGAGCAGGTCGGGAATGTCTACTCTCGTGGCTTCTTTTTAAACAGTTTTAAAACCACATTTTAGCCATTAAAATAGGCAGAAGCCAAACAATAACAACAACAAAGCAAGTTCATCCAGATTGGAAAGACCTAACTAAAACTATCTTTATTCTCTAAAGACATGATTTGGCATGTAGAAAATGTTCAAGAATTCACCTAAAACAAATAAGAGCAAATAAGTGACTTAACCAAGATTATCCTATACAAGATTTGATATGCAATGAAAAAAATCCAAATTGAAATTTAAAAACATTCTGTTTATAATAGCCTCATCAGCAATAAAATACCTAATGCTAAATTAATAATGTATAAGACTTTCACATGAAAAACTGCAAAACATTATTGAGAAAGGTTAAAGAAGAAAAATGGAGAAATATTCTAGATGCTCAATGATTTCATTGTGGTTTTTTTTTTTTTTTTTTTTTGAGACAGGGTCTCGCTATGCAGTTCAGGCTGGCCTTGAGCTCACTTTGTAACCCAGACTGACCTCAAACTTGCAACGATCCTTCTGCCTCAGCCTCCCAAGTGCTGGGATTACAGGCATGCGCCACCACACCCAGCTTCATTGTTGTTAAGATGGAAACTGGAAATTCCAAGTCGATCTATTAATCTGTGCAATCCCAAGAATTAAAAACTTGATTGAAAAATATCCATCTGAAAATGCAAAGGACCTATAATAACCAAAAAAAAAAAACTTAAAGAAGAACAAAGTAGGAACTTGCATTGTTTGACTTAAATCTCACCTTAAACTACACTTATTAAGACAATTTGGTAGCGGAGAATGCATATACAGATAAGGAACAGACACAAGTGTTTAGAAATAAACCCTCGCATTTACAGCCAATTGAGTTTCTACAGACTTTGGAAACCATCTAATCCCACGTGATGGGGTCACCCTTGCAACAAACAGTGTTAAATATCCACAGGCCAAAAAGCAAACAACAAAAACCAAAAAACAGAATTCATACCCTTATCTCAAACCATAACAAACTTCACCACAATAGAAAAAAGACATAAATGTAACAGCTAAAGCTATTGAATGTATAGAAGAACACAGAAACAATCTTGATGTTCCAATAGGCTTCACATGTTTATAAATAATACCAAAAACAAGAGCACTGAAAAGTTGATATGTTTTTTTAAAAATTTTAATGTTTTAAACTTTAAAACATTTGTGTTTCAAGAGATACTATTTAAAAAGGAGAAGATAAGCCATAGACTGGGAGAAAATATTTGAGCACATTTGATAAAGGACTTACATGCAAACTATATAAAAACTCTCCAAACAAAATAGGAACCCTTCTCCACTGCTGGTGGGAATGCAGACTGGTGAAACCACTGTGGAAATCAGTTTAGAGATTCCTCCGAAAACTAGGTTTAGAGGTCCCATTCAACCCAGCTATCCCCCTGCTGGGTATTTTCCCAGAAGATCTAAAAACATCATATCACAGTGATATATGTGCACCTATGTTCATAGCAGCACAATTTGTAATTGCTAAAATGTGGAAGCAACCCAAATGTCCATCCACCGAGAATTGGATAAGAAAATTGTGGTACTTTTATATAATGGAATATTACTCAGCTATAAAGAAAGATAAACTCGAGGCCTTTATATTTAAATGGTCACAACTAGAGACCATACTCATAAGTGAAATAAATCAAACATACATGTGCAAGCACCGCATTGTTTCACTAGTGTAAAACTTGAAAGAGTTAATTTAAACTAGGAGGTATGATAGACACTGTGAAATGATAGGAAACCAATGAAGAGTAAAGGGCTTCTGGGATGTGGGAAAAGAGAAGGGAAAGAAGGAGAAATTTTGTATGTATGTATATACAGGATAGTTAACATGGTTGTTCTTCTGTCTTCTATTTCTATGCTGAAAGAAACTGTCAATGAGCCTTTGGTTGACCAGTATTGCATGTTTATATCTGTTTTCACGAGAAGCCACTTTGAAGATATCAATATGTAATACAACCACCATTGTTAATTCCCTACCACTTTGTTTGTAACTCTGTATTGTCTGTATTGTGCTTGTGATATGTTGTAAAATGTTGTATGTCTGTTAATGTTTCCCTCCTTTTATCTTTAAAATAAAAAAAACTCTCCAAACATGTTGATAAATGAATGAATAACCCAATATAAAAAAGATTGAAAGATCTGAATAGACACTTCAGCAAAGAAGTTATTCAAATGGTTACTAAACTGATGCAAAATGTTCAGCAACATTCATCACTAGGAAAAAACAAAATAAGGCTATAGAGATACCAACACACACACACACACACACACACACACTGGGATGATGCTATGGCTTATATCGATGTCCCCCTAAAGCCACATGTTCCCATAGGTGGGGCTTTTGGGAAGTGGATGGATCTAGGTTGTATGATACTGCATTGTGGGTGTGTGATACTGGGCTAGCCCACTGACTAGTTTAGCATGTTTCTCAGTCTGGATGATGGATTTACTGAATAGGGAAAACCCACCCTGGGTGTTAGTGGTGCCAACCAATAGTCTTGTAGTCATTCATGGAATGAAAAGGTAAAGAAGAAGGAAGGCTCTTCCTGCCTGCCACGGACTGTTTCCCCTTTTTGATGCCCCTCTGTCATGCTGCCCTGTCTTGGAACCAGCTGACTATGAACTGAAACCTTTACAAACTGTCAGGCAAAATAATCCTTTCCTCCTTTAACTTGTAGGTATCGAGTATTTTGTCCCAGCAAAAAGAAAGTAACTCAGACAGATGGCCATCATAAAAAGCAGCAAAATAAAACAAAAACCCAGACCTTACAAACATGATAAGGATGTGGAGAATGTGGAGGAACTGTAGCCCTCATGTGTTGCCAGTGGGGGTTTAAACTGTGCGGCCGTTTTGGCAAACACCGGCATTTTCCTAGAAGGGATATTTGCACTTGACTCAGCAATTCCACATGTGGGCTTGTCAACAACCACATATATGTGTGCAAATGTTCAGAAAAGCCCCAAACTATCCATTAATTGGTGGATGGACCAAAAAAAGGATATTGGCTATATATATATTAAATGAGTCCATTGATCTTCAGTGCCCAGGAAGTGTAAATTTATAGAGACAGAGGCAGATTAACAGTTGCAATGAGCATTCATGAGACTACTCCAAAACCCAATTGTGGTGAGAGTTGCACAATTCTAAATGTTTGTTAAGAATCTTCGAGTGGAACACTTACTATTGGCAAATTTAAGAGTGTTGAGTTATGCCTCAGTAAAGCTGTTCAAAACTTGAAAACATGAAATGCATAAACCTAAAATACAAGTGCAGCCCATTTGGCTCTGCTATAAATCATTTCTGTTGCTAAAGTTAAGCTTGAATTTGGAATGATTAGATGGGTTTAGTGAATAGATCTCCAAGAAGACTGGCTTATGTACCTAACAGTATTTAAAGAAATAAACATTCAGTAAATTTTGTTGTCTGTTTAAAGCAATTTACTGTTTGCTAGGCCCTTTCCAGTGCAAGCTGCTCACCTCTCAGGGGGTGTTACTACTTCACGTAAGCAGTCATTAATTAAAACCTCAGCTCTGCCCAGGAATCAGGTAGAGGGCAACGAAAGCCAAACAGACGACCTCTAAAAGAATCTATTTCTTCAAGCCAGTCTCCTAATTTTCATTAATCCATGCTCATGCATTCTTGGGGTAGCAGTAAAATAATCAGCCAGAAACAAATACTCTCCTTCTATACTGATGGTTGAAATGTGTGGCTGTAAAGTCAGTTGACATGTTGAATCCACTCTGATCATCATGATCACGTGGGGAGGTTGTTTGAGTTTTTAAAGACTGTGGGTTGGGAAGCAGCCTAATAAATTTGAGAGTGGTATTGGCATTGGGATACAGCAGGAGGCCTAGCAAGCCAGAGAGCCAGAAGCAGAGCCATTTGGTATTCTATAATGTGATAATGAAAAATGGGTGCATTATACTACATTGAGAGCTGGGTGTAGTGACTCCCGCCTATAATAGCAGCACTCTGGGAGGCTGAGACAGGAGGATAGCAAGTTCAAGCCCAGCCTGGGCAACTTGGCAATTTAGTGAGATCCTATTTCAAAATAAAAAATCAAAATGGGCTGGGGATGTAGCTTAGCGTAAAGGTCCTGGGTTCAATCCCCAGGACCAAAAAAAAAAAAAAAAAAAAAAAAAAAAAAAAAAAAATCCTTCTACATTGAAAGTAAACACTTCCCTTCAACAACATCAAGGCAATCACAGAGCTCGTGAGTGGTACCACAGCAACTGTCCCTTCCACCCGCCCACGCTCCACAGCACACACCACGGTCCTTGTCGGTCCTTCCGGCCTCCCCGCCTGTACGTCTGCGCCCGCGTCCCTCCTTAGTGCGCACCCGAGTCAGCCCCGGGGTTGCGATCGTTCCGGACACGGACCATCCTCCTGCTCAGACTGCAGCCTTCTTTCCTTCCCCCTCCCCTGCCCCTGCTCCTCCTCGCTGACTCACTGTGTCTGAGTACAAGCCCAGCGACTGTGCAGCATTTTCCCGGAGACTTCTGGGGGTCAGCGCGGCTTGGCCCCTTGCATCCGCTGTGCTTGAAACACAGTTTCTCAGCCTCCAACTTTCACGTCAGAGTGCTCCGGTCTGTACCATGGATGCCTCACTGCCAGACCTCCTAGTTTCAGATCCTGTTTCTATGCCTGGCTTTAAAATGAAGGCCTGATAATATGGAGTTGAATGGAGATGCTGACCACACTCACCCGTTCCAACAGGCGCCTATTCCAGGAAAGGACCTGGGGCGCGTCACCCAGCCTACCATCGGGACCGTGTGCTGGGCCTGTGCAGGCTCTGGAGGCCCAGGCCCGGCCCCGTTTCCTACAGCAGCCTGACTTTCTCCTTCTCTTGGTTTTTTTTTTGTTTTGTTTTTTGTTTTGTTTTGTTTTTTTTCTCCGGTACCGGGAACCGAACTCACGACCTTGCGCTTGCCAGGCAGGCACTTTTGCCGCTGAGCTAAATCCCCAGCCCCCTTCTCCTTCTCTTGGTACAAAAGTGGAACTCACCGTGCTTTCTCTCCGGTTGTGCTGGAGGGAGACTTTGGACCTCTGCCCTCGTGAGGACACATTTGGAAACCCCCGACAATGGGTGCAGGTGTCTGGACTTGGGTGTCCCTGTTCTGGGGGAAGTCAAGGTGGCACTCACAAGTAAGCAGAGCTTCCAGGCTACTTGCTACATTCTGGACTGAAGGGACCGATGGATCTCACTAAGCCCACTGTTCCTGACCTCATAACCCAAATGGCTGGGCCCAACCCAAAGTTGAACAATCCTGCCTGCCACTTACTAGCCACGCGGTGGTGAGAAAGGTGTTCCACTCTCACAGTCTTAGTTGCTTTATCTCCAAAATAAGGATCATGCTATATCTCTAGGTTGTCTGATACTAAATGACATGAGACACGTACATACATATACAGACACAAATATCTATATCTATATACTTACATCTCTATCTGTCCATATCCCATCATCCCCTGATATCCACAGCATATTGGTTCTAGGGCCCCCCATGGACACCCAAACCCACAGACACTCAAGTCCCTTATATAAAGTGGTGTAGTATTTGCGTAGAACCTAAGGTGATCTTAGAACACACTTTAAATCATCCCTAGACAATTTACAATACCTGATATAATGTGAATACTGTGCAAATGGCTGTACTGTGTTGTTTAGGGCAGGGATCCCAAGCCCTAAACACTGGTCTCCAGCCTGTTAGGGACCAGGCTGTACAGCAGGAGGTGAGCAGTGGGCACGCAAATCTTCCTCTGTGTTTACAGCTGCTCTTGCTGCCTGAGCTCCCCCTCCAGTCAGATCAGGGCAGCACTCGATTCTCACAGGAGGGCTGTGATCCCTAATTGTGATTTGTGACCTTGACTTGAATAAGAGCCACTTAGCAGATTAGTAAGGCTCTGGGTGTGTCTGACTGACACTTCAATCACACACTGAGAGAAGACCTGCCCAGGATGTGGGTGGCACCCACTAACCAGGCTTGTAGCCTGGAGGGCATAAAAAGGGAAAGAAGCAGGAAGTCTGCGCTTTGCTTTTACAGAGGAGCTCCAAGCTTCAGCCTTTGGACATCTATCTCCGGTTCCTTCAGGTTCCCAGCATAGACTCTCTAGCTTTTCAACACAGACCCTTTGGCTTTCCAATGTGAACTCACACCAGACTCTCCAGCGAGCTCCAGTCCTACAACTTTGGACTGGGTCCTCCGCTCCCCAACACACAGGTGGCCATCCTACATTCTACCAGCCCTGACTCCACAGGCAGCCATTGTCAGCCTGCCTAGTAAATCCTTTATGTATCATATATTTATGTATCACACATATATTATATACATCATAGAGTATACATCACATATATACCATATGAATCACATATATCTCATATTATCATATATGTCATCCATGTCACATTTATATCATATACATCACATGTGTATCATATCTTATGTGTCATATACATCACATATATTGCATATATGACATATATATCATGTATATCATATATCATACATATCAAATATATTGTATATGTTGCATATATCATATATATCCCACATATCTCATAAATAAATATATACTCATATATCAAGCTCAAACCCTACTGTGAACTGCACAGGGGAAGGATCTAGATTGCCTGCTCCTTCCCTCCTTTCTTCCTTTTAATTACCCGCAAACTGTCCTCCCTCTAAACCTGTCCATCAGTGGAAAAACTGTCTTCCAGGAAACTGGTCTCTGGTGCCAAAAAGGTTGGAGACGGCTGTATTAGGGAAACGTGACAAATAATAATAAAAAAACTGTACATGTACAGCACAGATGCAGTTTCTGTCCTGAATGTTTTCTGTCTGCATTGGCTGACTCTGGGGACACAATCCACATAGACGCTGAGGGTCACCTGGACACGGTGCAATTAGGACGGCAGACGGTGTCGATGAGTGAGTACTGTTAAATGTTACCAGGCATAATCAGCACCGGAGGGTACACCAAAAAATTACTTTCTTGCAAACAATAGAAACCATGCTGGCCAGTTGAGGAACTCACGCTTGAGTGAGTACTGCATGCTTTACAGCCACTGTAGGAGCCAGAGAAATGTTCTCTTGGGGGAGGTCCCAGGGACAGTTCCCAGCGGAGAGCCATCTGTCACAGCAGTGCCCACAGAACCTACTGGCTCCAAGGCCAGCCCAGCTGGTGAAATGACTGCCTTGCCCGCCCCCTGGGCCCTCTGGGCTCAGGGCCAAGCTGACATCTCTGCTTGTGGAGCTCATTCATTGGTAAACTCTGACTCACACTGCCAGCCCCAGTGGCGCGGAAACCTGGGAAATGGAGTTGTTAACTTTCCAGTGGCTTCAGAAGACAGAGGGGCTGCAGCAGGAGTCGGAACGGACACAGGGACAGTCCATATAGAATCTGGTCCCAGGAACTGAAAGTCTTCACTGTGCCCTAAATGTGATGGTCTGATCAAGGGATCAGGACCTCGGAGGGTGGAGTTGGGGGCTGGGGTTGGCTGTGGACAGGGACAGGAGTGAAGACATGGGAGACAGAATGCTGCCAGGAGCTGCGGGGCGGCCAACAGGTAGGTAGGGTGTGAGACTGAGCCCACAGCCAGAGCTCAGGGCTGCTAGCGGGGCCTCCTGGGTCCCACCAAGGCCAGGCTTTCTTCCCATGCTGCCTCATCCCCCGCCAGCCCTCAGCCTGGAGCCCAGACTGCATCTGTCCCCCAAGGCCACTGTAGTGCCCACCTGGCCAGTGTCCTTGGCCATGCTGTCTGATCAGAATGAGCTTGGATGCACAAGGAAAGGAAGGGCTGGGGCTGAATGAACTCATCCTGGGGACATGCCTGGGCCCCCCTGGAACCACCCAACAGTGAGTTTCCAAGTCAGGAAGGTACACAAGCAAAAGACAGCAACTGTGGGAGGGAATGCTGGCCAGACGTCCAAGGACATCTCCAGCTCTGCAGTTAGGTACCACAGGGAGGCACGAAGTCCAAACACCCAGAAAGAGACTCCACCAGGGAGGAGGTTAGTCCCTGTGGCTGACTTCCAGGTAGGACTGAAGCCAGGTTCCTTACAACCTGTAGTTCATTGTCTGCTTTCCTAACTGACTTGAGTGCCTGACCGGGAACTTCTAAGCAAGAAGAGATAATGCTCCTATCCATTTGCTAGATAATTAAAGCACTGGTCCTCACGCTTTTGACCTGTGCAGTCAACCATCTTCCCAAAGGGCCTGGCTGAGGCCCTGAAAGAATTTGGGGAAATCCTTTCACCACTCTTCTATACCAGGAAAAGCTGACATGACACAGAGTCTTTTGAAAATTATAAATCTAGTTTATGGACCAGAGATGGTTGAGAACTGGAAAACAAAAACCATGTGTTGGGCAGATAGAATTAATGTTTCCTTCTCTCTCACTTGTATTTCTGCTAGTACTTTTTATAAAATTTCTTTGTAGACTTCAGAAAAAAATAAAATAATCCCTCTGAACATGAAGGGGATTTCATTGGTCACAGATACAGAACATGCTCCTGAATTTGTCTTACTTTATTTTGGTGGTTGTTGTAGGGGTCCGAAGGGTTTAGGTTCATACCTAGTCAGCCCGTGGTTTCCTGCTCCATAGATTCAACTAACTGTGGGTTTTGTTTTATAAAATTGCATGTGTCCTGAGCTGGAAAAGAAGCCATGACATTTTTTCTTAACATTGTTCCAGGGCCAGGAATGTAGCTCAGCAACACAGTGCCTGCCTGGTAAATGCAAGGTCCTGAGTTCAATTCCCAGTACCAAAAAAAAAAAAAAAAAAAACAACCCCACAAAAATTTAACATTGTTCCATTGCCTTATCCTTTTATTGTTTACTGTAGTAGAACAATGTTCAGGAAGCAAATCAGAACAGAGTGGCATTGGTTCAGGTCCTTTAAAATGGAGTCAAGAGACCACTGTTAAATCAGGTCTCAGACTGGATGACAGCTGAACCTTTGAATAGGGTTGCAGATAGGTCCCCTACCCAGGCGAGCTGGACAGGGCCAACCTGCAGCTTCCTGAAACATTGTTGACCTCTGCTGACGCTTGTCCTTATATAAAATACCTCTTCCCTCAAACTACCTGGTGACTCCAAGCACACCCACTCCCTTCCTTACCAGACAGCTTAATTTCTGCCCGCACCCGCCATGATTCCTAACCAGGATGTAACTGCTGGCCTTCAGCTTAAGCCATAAACACAGCCGCCATTTTGCCAGACCTCAGAGTGCATTTTTTAAGACTGCCTGACTCTGTTTTTCATGACTAGAATCCTAATTAGCCCCAAATAAATGTAATTTACTTGGTTCTGGATGAAGCTGATTTTTATTCTCTTTGGACAACTACTTACATAACATTTACATTGTTTTAGGTAGTATAAATAATCGAGAGACAATTTAAAGTGGCAGAAATTGAGCAAACAAATAAAAACATTTTTTCACCCTTAGCTAATTGTGGAGAGGTCGTGGGGAAAAAGGGTTCGGGTCACAAAGGATTGTTCCAGGAACTGGCCCACTAAACCAGTCCAGCAAAACAGCCAGCCTTATCTTTGAGACTATTTTTTTTTCTTCTTAGGGACTG